ACTTCTATTTCCATTTTATTTTAGGGAAGATGTTTCGGGAGAAGAATTTGAAAATTAAATAAAGTTTGTTTGTGTTTTGGGAGGAGAAAATTTGTACTGTAGCAAGTCAAATCATGTCTGAAAGGTGTTGGAAAAATGTATTTTGGAAGAAGAATTTAAAAGATAAAATGATTTGATTTTGTATTTTAGTGAATACAATTTTCACTGTAGCGGTCAAATCATGTTTGTTAAAGAGAGAAATATTTAAATTTGTTTTGGGGAAATATTTTTTGAAAATAGTGTAGAAAGATAATTTTCATTTTGGGGAAAGTGTGGAAAGAATTTGAAAACGGTAACAAACATAACCAATGTATTTTTTTAAGTGCACAGTTGTTTCGATCATGTGAGTGTCTTTTAATGTGAACTAGTTGGCCTTTTATTTTCTTTACAAAACACCAAAGTACGTATCAATCATATCTATCCTTTATTATTTATCAAAAAATAAAAATAAAAATATATCTATCCTTTATTTTTTATTTGTTTGTTTATTGATACATTCTTTTAATATATCTATACCATCGTTGAGTGTAGATTTTATACGCAATATATACTTTTATGAGGATTTTTATGAATTTCTATCGATTTAATGGTGCTTAATTACTAGTTTGTTGTATTTTAGGTACAATTTGAAAATTCGGGAGTTACAAAAATGAAACGAGCAAAAATGGTTAAAAGCGGACAAAAACGGAAGAAAACAAATATAAGCTGAATTTGGCCTGGCACGGCCGTGTGAAAAACAGTTCATTTCTGGCACGACCGTGTGAAAACACGCGGAAGACAACTTTTGAGGGTTTTAATCACACAAGGAAACCCGGATTTTTTACCAAGTCGAGCATCTATCGAAGATGAAGACCTGACGAATCTTCATCATAGTTCTTCTTATATTTCTCTTTTCTAATTCTATGTATTTTCCTATTTTTATGATGTTTTTTGTAGAGAACATGAGTAGCTAAGTTTTTAATCTAAGATTTTATTAGAACCCTATGTGGTGATTTGAACCTATTTTTAACTTCTGAAAAAAATTGAAAGATTTTCGAAAAATCAATTTACGATCCATTCTGTCCGATTTCTACCCATAATTGGGAATTTCATTTCTGTTGAATTGAGATTTTCCGAAAAGGGGCTTTGAAAGTGCTATTCATTATATTGGGATGGAGGAGTATATTACTATAGGGATTATTTGTACTCCCTCGCAAGGAAAATATTTTGAACCAACCGTCAAGTATATTACATCTTGGTGCATACCCCATTCATTTGAATATTAATTTTGGATACCCCCTAGCTACTTTGAAGATCATAAGAATGTAACACTTATCCACTTAAAAGATCATTTGTAACACTTATCCCCTTGACATTTAAAATATTATAAACATAACAATCTAATAATTATTGGATCATATAAAAGTGAAAAGTAACTAAAGTTAAATCATTGGAAAATAATAAAAAAGTAATATATATTGTATAATAATAAACGGAAATATATTTTAAGAAATTAATGAAGTAAAATAAATTTAAATACTTAATATTACTATTAGTTAGGTATTTATTTCTTAAAATTTATCGATATGAAAGTATTCGATTAAATGGTCCAACAACAATTAAATGTTATTTATTAATTATGTACCCTACGCAAGTTAATATTTTTAAATTTTAAAATAGCATTTTTGAACATATATTTTTATCTGTATAATTTAATTATTCTTCTAGTTATTCCTTTCAATAAAAGAGAAAAAATTAGGTATTAGAATTTAAAATGCAAATTGAATTGTGATTGAGGGGTAACTGTTACAAATGATACTTTAATGGAGGTAAGTGTTATAGAAGGTATACTTTAGTGGTGTAAATTATATTTAACCCGAAGAGTACTTTAAGTGAAATATATATATATATATATATATATATATATATATATATATATATATATATATATATATATATATATATATATATATATATATATATATATATATATATATATATATATATATATATATATTCAGGCTGTGAGAGATAGTAGTATATTTTTGCTAGAACAACTTCC